TATAAACAAGTGGAAGAAAATACCATGTTCATGGCTTGATAAACTCAACATCATTAAAATGTCTACTACTACCCAAAACAATCTATAGATTCATCGCAATCCTTGTTGAAATACCAATGGCATATTTAACAGATCTAGAAAAAAACATTCCAAAAATTTATATGGAACCAAAAATGACCTCAAATAGCAATCTTGACAAAGAAGAACATAGTTGGAGGAATCACAATACCAGATACGAAATTATACTACAAAGCCACTATACTCAAAACAGCCTGGTACTGACACAAGAACAGGCATATAGATCAATGGAACAGAACCCAGAAATTGGATCCAAGCCATTATGCTCAATTAATATTTGACAAAGGAGGCAAGAGCATACAATGGAGTAAAGAAAGTCTTTTCAATAAATGGTATTGGGAAAACTGGACAGGTACATGCAAAAAAATGAAACTAGACTACCAACTCACACCATACACAAGAATAAACTCAAAACGGATAAAAGACCTAAATGTAAGTTGTGAAACCATAAAAATCTTTGCAGCAATATCTCAGACATCTCTCATAGCAATATGTTTACTGATAGATCTTCTACCGTGGTCAGCAAACTGCGGCTCGTGAGCCACATGCGGCTTTTTTGGCTCCTTGAGTGTGGCTCTTCCTAAGCCTTAGGAGTACCCTAACTAAGTTAATAACAATGTACCTACCTATATAGTGTAAGTTTAAAAAATTTTGCTCCCAAAAGAAATTTCAATCGTTGTACTGTTGATATTTGGCTCTGTTGACTAATGAGTTTGCCGACCACTATCCTAGTACAAAGGAAACTAAGGAGGAAATAAACAAATGGGGCTACAACAAAATAAAAAAGCTTCTACACAGCAAAAGAAACCATCAACAAAGTGAAAAGAGAGCCTACTGCATGGGAGAACATATTTGCCAATAATATATCTGATAAGGGGTTAATTTCTAAAATATATAAGGAACTCATACAACTTAACAAAAGGAAGACAAACAGTCCAGTTAATAAATGGGCAAAGGACATAAATAGACACTTCTCCAAAGTAGACATACAGAAGGCCAAGACACATGTAAAAAAATGCTCAAAGTCACTAATTATCCAAGAGATACAAATTAAAACAACAATGAGGTATCACCTCACACCTGTCAGAATGGCTATCATCAACAAATGACAAGTGTTGGCGAGGAAGTAGAGAAAAGGGAACTCTAGTACATTGCTGGTGGGAATGCAGACTGGTGCAGCCATTATGGAAAACAGTATGCAGTTTCCTCAAAAAATTTAAAATGGAGCTGCCATTTGACCCAGTAATCCCACTTCTAGGAATATATCCTAAGAAACCTGAAACACCACTCAGAAAGAATGTATGCACCTCTATATTCATAGCAGTGCAATTTATAATAGCTAAGATTTGGAAACAGCTCAAGTGCCCATCAGCAGATATGTGGATAAAAAGGCTGTGGTACATTTATCACAATGGAATACTATGCAGCAATAAAAAAGAGGAGCTCTCACCATTTGCAACAGCACGGATGGACCTGGAGAGTATTATGCTAAGCAAAATAAGCCAGTCAGAGAAAGATAAGTATCACATGATCTTACTGATATGTGGAATCTAATGAATAAAATAAACTGATAAACAAAATAGATCCAGAGACAGAACCATGAATAGACTGATGAATTTCAGAGGGAAGGTAGGGTTGGGGGTGAGGAGCATGCAGGGAGAGAGATTAAACTGGGGAACTTGAATGCATAGCCCATGGACACAGACAATAGTGTGGCAAAGGCTTAGGAGGGGTGTGTGGGGGGAGCAGGGGGTCAATGAAAAAAATTTAAATTTGAATTAAAAAATAAATTTAGTGTATGATGGAGGTGGCATTTCTTCAGATCTGTGGAAAAAGCATAGATTATGGTATTGGGGCAATAGGACAAACATTTGCAGAAAATAAAGTTAGATCTTTGTCCTATATCATTAGCTAACATAAATTTCAGATTTATTTACTCCTAAACATTTAAATATGTATAAACTTAACAATACATAAAAGTAGACCATAAAATATATCTAATCTTAACATAGAAAAAAACATTGCTCAGGATACATGTAAAATAGAGTTTATAAAAGCAAAGATTTGACTAAACTTTTAAAAACCTTTATGTGATAAAGCACAATGTACTAATTAAGGGGTAAATATTTTTCTCTGTTGTTTTTTCCCCAGCATATGAGACGAATTAATTTTCTTAATATATAGAGTGCTTATAAATGAATAAATAAGATGAGCACACTGATATAAAATGGGTAAAGAAGATGGGGGTGGGGGGAGGAGGCTGGAGGGGGTCAATAGTGGGGGATAGAGGGCATATGTAATACTTTTAACAAAGAATTATTTACAAAAAATAAAATGGTCAAAGAAGAAATACAAATAGCTAATAAACATTAACAAAAGTTGAACCATCTTAAATAGTAATATCAGAAATGTAAATAAAAAATAAGTTAAATTTTCTATCTCCTGTGGTACATTTGCACAATGGAGTACTATGTGGCTGTGAAAAAGAAGGGACTGTTATCCTTTGTGACAGCATGGATGGACTTGGAAATTATATCATGCTAAGCGAAATAAGCCAGTCAGAGAAAGTTATCACATGATCTCATTTGGAATCTAATGAACAAAATAAATTGACAAACAAAATAGAACCAGAGGCATGGATACATGGAACAGACTGACAGAGGTTGGAGGGAATGGGGTGGGGGCAACTGGATAAAAGAAGGTAAAGAGTGTAGCCAAAGAACATCTGTGCATAACCCATGCATACAGACAACAGTGGTGAAGGTCAGGGGAGGGGTTGTGGGAGCTGGATTGAGGTGGGCAAAGAAGGGATGAATGGGAGACATCTGTAATAGTATCAACAATAAAAAAGAAAATTTTAATAAATTTCCTATTTCAAATTGGAGGAGATTTTAAATGCATTTTAAATACTGTTTTTAAAGAGGGCGAGGGAAACAAGCACTTTATACACTATTGGTACCTTTCTGGAAGAATATATCAAAATCTGCTAAGGTATGCATACTCTTTGACTTGACATGTTCCATCCTGGGACTTTATCTCAACACAATAATTGTGAATACATGCATCATGGTGTCATTTGGTATAGGGAGAAAATTGGAGACCACCTGAATGTCTGACAAAGGGTAAAATAAATTATGGTACATATTCACAAGGGAATACCATGCAGCTTTTAAAAATGTATTATTTAGGACAGGAGTTTCAGATAGGCTTAATCTCCTACACTCACTCTGTGATTGATTGGCAGTCTCTTTTTGGAATGCTATGTTGAGAAGTCATGTCTGGGCTCAACAGGGAAGAGTGGTGTGCTCAGTGAGGGATAGTGCCATGGGAGAAGGAGAAAGACTGACAGCAGTGTTGGATACTGGCTTTTCCTGCTGTAAAAGAGTGTTTAATGATAAGGGGAATTATTCAGCCTGTGTTAACAATAGCAAAAATTGAATATACAACTATATACTATGTAGGCTACTTTAGCATTGGGGGGAAGGATATAGGTGGAGTGAAAACTCATGAATTAAACATACCAGAGTATTATCAGTGGTTATTTCTGGTTAATAATATAATGTATGATTGCTGTTATGATTAAAAATAGTAATGGGGAAAAACAGTGGTTAGGGATATTGTCTAAAATATGAGCATGTTTTAAAGAGTTATAGTCTCCAGATTTTGTTCCTTACAGAATCCAGGTTTCTGGACAGGTGGTATTTGCTTAGCCCTTCAGCTTCTGGAAGTTGATGAGTACTTTATGACTTCAAGAGTCCCTGCTTGTGTTCCTTTCCTTTGTGGCCTCATTCAATTAAGCAGGCACCTGTGGATATATAGAGACAAAATATATACTTCCTATTTTTAAGAAGCTTACACTCTAGCAGGGAAGATAGACATAATAATGGTAGCAGTAGCAAGAGGAGAAGAAAGAAGAGGAGGGGAAAGGAGAGCAGACATACGCAATATTAAGTGCTTTATACCTATTTATTCATTTACTCTTTATAGTGTCCCTATGAGATAGGCAGTTTATTATCCCATTTACAGATGAAGACACTGAGAGGCTAAGTGCCTAGGTCAGGTTTAAACCCAGGCAGTCTGGTTTCAGGGTCTGTTTGACCACCCATTCCTCTCAATCAGTCAGTCGGGTATTGTTCAGTTGCTTTGCATGGATTAGCTCATTTCCTTTTCACAACAAAACTTCCTGTCTTATTCATCAAAGACTTAGTGGACATTCCTTAATGTGTCAAATATTGGAGGGGGGGCATGCGGAGGCGAATACAGAGCAGTTCTGTTCTAAGTGTCTGGGCATAGGTCTGTTGAAAGGTTCAGGTGTGGACATGCGAGTAAAATATCATACTACATAAAGTATGGTGGTGATTATAGGATGCCAGAGCCTATATCTGCTTTACTTTGGGGTCTACCTCTTAATCAGCTCACTGGAAGGGATGTGAGGGTTGGGAGTTTCTCTTACTTGCCATTTTTGAATGGCAGCAGAATCTCATGTCTTCCTTTGGGTAAGGGAAGTAATTGGCCCTTGACCTGAAGTGGCAAGTAAGAAAACCCTTTTTAGATGAGTAAGATAATTATGTTCAGGGCAACAGAATTGCCACACTAAGGGGTATTGTTAGCTAATCCATAGGACTGGTGGGCAGATCATTTAAAGCTGCAAAATGCTTTAGGAGCCTCTAAAAGGCAGCTTGTGACGGCAAGAGTAAGGGAATCCTGTAATGAGATCTGAATCCAAGATTGATTTTTGTAATGAGGAAATCGATTTCTGAAGGAAATTATGTGACAGTATGATGTTTGGATGAGTGTCCTTCTTGGTTGGTCTGTTGTAGACACTTTGACAGATTGTCTGTCTGGATTGTGTGGCTGTTTGCTCGTCAGTGCTGATAGTACTTCTTTCCTTTCAATGATGCTGTTTTGTTTTTCCCTCCTAGGTTTATGGAATCCGAGCTGGACCTAAATGACATCATTCAGGAGATGCACGTGGTGGCCACCATGCCAGACCTGTACCACCTCCTAGTGGAGCTGAATGCTGTTCAGTCTCTTCTCGGGTTGCTCGGACATGATAATACAGATATCCTTTCAGATCTGTCTTCAGTGGGAAGGCTGACATGGTAGGGGAGTGCTGTTTACTCTCTTCTCCTGTCTGTCTCTGCTGTCACGTCTGATATTCTATTTCCAGTCCAATTATCTCCCATCTTGAAACACATGCTGCTCTTTACTCATTTGAAAATCTGGTTTATATCAGTAAATCTTGGGCAATCCTAATTGTTATATTTGCTCTTAATAGTACTAGAATTCATCGTGATGTATCTGTTCATACATTAACAGCATTAATTTTTCAGGATCTTGATTTGGAGGCCCATTAGAGAGGCAAGACCAGACAGCATTTGAATTTTTGGTCTAGACATCAGTCTGTTAGCAGATGCCCCAGTGGAGTTGAGACTAGAGGATGCAGTAAACTGTGATGGAAAGTACATTGGAATGTCGGGGAAGATAGAGATTTTATGTTTTGTCCACTAATATATTTCTAATTTCTTAAAGGCCAGGTGCACAAAAACATTTAGTATTTATAGAATCAGCTTTATACCTAAATAGACAATCTAGGTTTAACTTTTAGTTTTACTTTTTGTGTGAAATTTGGTGCCCCTCTAGCCTTTAGTATTCTCAACTGCAAAAAATAGAGTTAATAACTTTTGCCTTTCAATGTTATTTAGAGGATTAAAGGAGATCATATAAGTGCTAAGTAGTTTCTCATATATAGTAGGCACTTAGGAAATGTTACTTTTAACTGAATCTGAATCATGACTTTGAAAACCATTTTATACTTTGTCTTTGTGCAACTGCTATCTGATGTGCAACTGCTTTAGTGCAAAAGGTTTTTCATATGCCTGTGGTTGGAGTTATGTTCATTAAAGGAAATTCCATTCCAGTAGTTGTTCTGTTAGAATCCAGATTTTCGAAGGTGAGAGACAAATGTAGTTAGTCTGCTTGAGTGATATTCATGGGGAATCTGCTGCTGCTTCATGTTATTTTCATCTTTCTGGTAATCTCTCTCCTGAGAGCATGTCTGACTAGGTTCTTTCCTGCCTGATAATTCTCATAGAAATAAATCAGTGAATAATTTTAATGCAGGCTTCTTGAAGGGTGGTCTTAAGCCATTTCTGATATTTCATGTAATGTTAGACAGTATTAAGAATCACTGTGTCAGTCCCAAGATTGATGAATGTTCCCCAGGGTTCATTGCAGAGTTCTGCATTGTACTGTAAGAACCCTAGTCAATTAGCTTGTTTCTAGGCGAGCTCAGTACAGGGTCTTATGAATTCAATAGCATGCAGATATGCTTTGAGTGCTTAGTATGTACCAGGCACTGTGCTAGACCCCGAGGAACCATGGGCTATACTGGATACTCAAACAGCATCAGCCAGTAAGCATATATTGAGTATCTACATATGATTAGCTCTATTTGAGGTGCTAACTGCTCCTTACAGAGTTAGTAACTAAGAATTCTAGTTGTGACTTCACATTTCAATTCACTTACACAGAATGGTAGATTTTCAGAATCCGAGCAGACCTTAGAGATGACTTAGTCCAGTGACTATTTATTTAGTGACAAGTCTGAGGTCCCTATGTTGGATAGCTAACTGTTGAAGTTGAGGCTGGCACTCCAGGCCCCCGATTTCCAGTCCACTGTTCTTTCTAGTGCACTGAGTCTCTTCCCTCTAGGATTTATTACGTCCCTGACAGAGTTGCAGTGATTCATTCATTACCTTGCGTATTAATACAGAAATCGCCTGTGTTGTCTCTGGAAACATGGCTCTCATTCTCTTTTTCTATGCCTGCTAACTCAAAATAATAGTAGCAGCTTTCCAAAGATACTGACACTTTGCTGATTCACCAGCCTGGTTCCTGCTGAGGAGAAGACACACAAGAAGTGCTGCTCATCAGCATACTTGGGAAAGGCAAGGGCACAGCTGCTGCAAGTTGTAATGTTCTGGTCTTTAAAAAGGAAAAAAAACAAGTCCCCTGTAATAACTTTGACAGCTGCCATTCCCTCCTGCTCTCTGAGAACTAAACTGCACTTTCCCCCCTCTTGTATACAACCTTCACCCTACTGCCCTAGTGATATTTTTCTAAAATCTGATTTTTAATTATGCCCTACATCAAATTTTAAGTTCATTTGAAATTTTTTAAATTACCTAATTTTAATTAGATGCAGCAATTAGGATAAATGTCATCTCAAAGTACAGCTTTTCTTAAAAGTGGTTTCAGAAAAGGGTAGACCCTCTTGACTTGCATCTAACGAATCCTCTATCAGTTGGAATGTTGATCTCTCAGCAGTGTTGCACTGTTTCTTGCCTTATCTGTGATCTATAATGGAAATTTTTCTTTAGGAAACGTTTGTTAACAATTTACTGTTATACAGCCGTAACTGCCCGAAACACCTTACCATAAATAAACAATTTCATGGCAGTCATGACTTAAATTTTTAATCTTTTTAACTCTTCATTTATCAACCAAGACCATACATGGCTGGTTATCTTTCCAGCAAGCACAGGTCATCTTTGCTTTGTCCTTCTCGAGAAAACATAAACTATAGGGATTTTAATTGGATCAGAGGCTGGTTTATTGTAACCTTAAGAGACAAAGGATGTGAGAAAACAGCTTGCACCTTGTCCTTTCAACCGTGAGAAGCAGCTTCAGAGTTTATTCTGGCGCTCTGCATCACTGCCGCTGGTGAGGGCCTGTCAGTGCTTCTGAGCACATCTCCCCCCTGGAGAGGTAGGAGCCCAGCCATCATTTGGCGGCAGAGTGGAATTCTGGTCTGTGAAGAGCACCTCTGGGGGTGAGGGGAGGGAGAGAAGGCACACCCCACACGCAGTGTTCAAGAGTCACTCCAAATGCATTAGGTGGGGTCCAACAGCTGCTGCCTTTTAGAGATAATGCTTTTTGCAACAATTTTTCCTTTAAAATAAATCATTTAAACATGTTCAGAACCCCCCTTTTGTGAACCTTTTGGAGTGTTTCTGCAGAAAAATAAAACCAAAGCTACATTTAAAAATATTTTCTTAAGGTATTGGTAAACAAAGTTTTTATGGCCTAGTTTAAGCCAAATTTACTCAATTTGCCTGAAGGAACAAGGAGGAATAAAACAAGGAGAAGATAAAACCCCAGATGGTGGCTGAGTACCCCTTCTGCTACCACCACCAAAAATCAAAACAAAATAAAAAAAACTCCAAGTTACCAATAAGTATCCTATTTTTGTATGGCATCTGCTTTGTTCTCAACTTAAGTGACAAGTCAGTGGAATCCTTTTTAAAGTCCTGTAGTAGATCCTGTAGTAGATTACTGGGTTCTTCCTTAGTATGATAAGCTCTGTTGTGTTCTATTAGGAAAATAAGAAATAGTAGTTTCAGTTGATAGTTATGTGTGGTGGTAAGTGCCCTTGGAGTGTTATGCTCAAGAAATGCTATTGGTATTCTGAAAGATGTGGGTCATCTCTGGCATAGGGTTGATAAGGGAATTGGACATTGGAGATTGGCAAGCTTTTGGTAGATGTGGAGATTTGAGTGCTTTTCAAGTTTATTTCATGTTCTCTACCTTGGCAATGGAAATTGCCATTCCTCACTTACTGGATCTGACATGCTCTTACTAGCTGCTCTTGTAGTCACTACACATTGGATATCAAGTCCATTAAAAAAAAAAAAATACAACTACTATACTGATTCCTAGCTAAGTGCCTTATTCTTTAATAAAAAATCCAGTAAACTAAACCCAGTTTATTCAAAGTATACTTTCTCTCCATCCACTTATTATTCAGAGGTCTCATTGTAATGTTAACTGAGGCTTCAGTACAGTGGGCTGTGCACTAACAGGCAGAAGGGAGAAATTGGTTAGCACCAAGTAGATCATTGGTGCTGATGGGACAGCTCCCTTTTGTCTGGGATCCTTTTCTAAATCACTGCTTAGTTTTCTCAAATTCTAGAAAGCCCAGAGGACTTGCAAAGTTGTCCTGGTCGGTTTTGTGAAGAATTACTATGGGGTTTGGAAAACAAGGAGCAGAAAGACTTTTTTTAGACTAGCAGGGATCAATTGAACTTGAGCATTTGGGTCTGAGAATGCTAGCGTGTTACAACCTGACTGGGACACACCATATTATCTCAGAGGGTGTGTACAGTAGTCAGGGGTGCCTGTGTTAGATAGAGCCCCGTGTTAATGAGCAGGAGTGAGGCGGGGAGAGGTTTGAGCCTCCTAAGGGCTTTCTTCTAATTGAACTGGGAAGGGAGCTGGCTGTTGCTCCATTGCTTTCCTGTAAGTGCTGTCTAATAAGACTTGTGTATCCCTGGCTGTTGTTTTCCTAGGAGCTGTTCTCATCTCAATATTTTTAGAATCTAAGTTATGTACATTGAAAACAATTTACTTCTTCCTCTTATAGGTAGTCTAACCTCCCTAGTAATTTGTACTGATAAGCCACCCGTTTTTTGGTGTGTGTGTGCTTGTGTGTGTGTGTGTGTGTTTTGAGCCATTTAAATGTGCTCTGAAGAAAGTCAGATTAGGTAAAAAGTGCCAAAATGGCAATCTAGGAAAAGGACCTGTTAATGTAATTTTTAATTTTGTTTATGAGTTTTAGATTAATTCTGTGTCCCAAAGCAGGGGGGTTGTAGCTTGCTTTGGACATTTTCCCTGCAGCATGACAGTGCCCACTAACATTTACTAGGTACTTAACAAATATTGAATGAGTGCATTTTCTCCCTCATACTAGTTTGATCTTGATCTAGGATTGGGATGAAATTAAGAGTCCTGGTTCAATCTAGCTACCTCTGCCAACTGTTTCAAAAGGAGGAAAAAAAACAACCCATTTTTGTCTGTGTTTTGAAATTCATCTGGATTGAGTTATATCTAATCACTATCCTACTCTAGGAATAAAAGAAAGAAGTTTTGTTTTTTTTAGAAAGCCCCTTATTTGTTCTATTAAATCAATTATATATTCTGAATCTATCCTGGTTCATTTTTCTTAAGGAAGCCCTTTTGAAATGACTTTTTAAAAAAGCTACCCGCTTACTATGTCTTGTTCCTCTTTATCTTAAAAATACACACAAAACAACATTACTTGAGACTAATAAGGTTAATGTTCAGTTTCTATACCAGGACTGTATTAGGGATCAGGCCTGAAAATAAATATCTAGAGCCAAAAAATAGAAGTAGACAGCCCTCTTTTTCCAAGAGCCATTGTGTTATGGACCATTTGTGCCCCACTGTTTTTTTCGACTTCACTTCTTATTATACTAGCTTATTGCCCCAGTAGTGGACAGGTACAAAGGGAGTGAGTTGGGTGGTCTTTCTACTGACATGACAAAATAGGCTATCAAAAACTGTGTTTTAGTAATTCACAGAGAGACAGGCTCTCTATTTTCCTATTATACTTGGACCAGAGAGCCTTTTACCTCGTGAAATGAAATTGTAAATACAGTGGAAAAACCTATCACCCATGCCCAGAGTCTGCTTGTGAAGAAATGCTGGATGGATGGCAGGCCATGCTGAATTTTCTCGACATTGAGGATTCATCTGTCTATCTGTGGTTCACATTCTTACTCCTCTTTCTAGTCTTCAAATGACCTTCAAATGTCATCTTATATTACCCAGGAGTTGATGATTACACTTACGGACTCATTACTGCCTTGTTGAAATGCTACTTAATGAAAGTTGGGAATTTATGTAAAATCAGTTAATGGTAGGATTGATGAGATGTTTACCAGATCTGGTAGCTGGTAACTCATTTATTATTTGACTTTTCAACTGAGGCAGGAGAGTAGACAAGGAGATATATAGAGGTGAGCAAAAGCAGGTTTGTGAGTTACAGTTGTATGTGAAACACAGTTTATTTTTGTATTATTATTTATTAACTATTTTCCATACGAACAACTATAAACCTAGTTTTGCCCACCCCTGTACACTGGAATATTATAAGAAAAAACTTTGCTTGGTAAAAGTTAGACATTTATCATATTTCTATATAAAACCACAGCCATTGTCAGTTTTTTTCCTTTTAAAAATATTTTTATTGGTTTCAGAGAGGAAGGGAGAGGGAGAGAGAGGGGTAGAAACATAAATGATGATAGAGAATCATTAATTGGATGCCTTCTACGCACCTCTACTGGGGATTGAGTCCACAACCCAGACATGTGCCCTGACCGGGAATCAAACCGGGACTTCCTGGTTCATGGGTTGACGCTCAACTACTGAGCCTCGCTGGCTGGGCCGCACTAAGTTTTATAGCACTCCTATGTTTGGGGCAAATATGACTTTAAAGAGTGAAAGAATAAGACACAGGAACCTTATTTACTTATTCATGATGGTCAGCTGGTCAGTTATTGATGAATAAAATGAAACTTCAAATAATTTTTCCCCCAGCAAAAGACGTTCATGAAATACCTAGAATGTCAGTTGGCAGTTAGCAAGTTCTATCATTATTGTTAATATGTCCTATATCTTTTATTTTTCTCTTTCCAGTTCTAGTGAAACTGCCCTGATTCTGACCCTGTTGTCTCATTTCTGGACTCTTTTGTTGTAGTTTTGGAACAGCTGTTCCTCCTTCAGGTGTTGCTTTTCCCACCCCTCGCCCATACACCCCAACTGCCTCCCATTTGCCCACCCCCAACATTCATAATGCTTTCGTGCCGCCTGCACACAGCTGTTAGGTTAGCATTTCAAAATACTGTTATTTTATAGGGTTACCATTATGCTTTTATCTCTTCCCTCCTATTCCATTTCTTCTCCTCTTTATATGCCTTTGTGCATTCTAATCTCTCTGCTTTTATTCCTGTTGTCCTGCCCTCATCTTTTTAGTTGCCTGTTTTCTGACCACTCTTTTAACAAATAATTCTTGATTTCTCAGTTCAAGTTGATTGCTGCTTTTTCAAGACATCTGCAGTTAATGTTTCTGTATTCTTCACTTGTTACATGTTAGTAATTCCCTGTGGTGTATAATTTTTTAAATGTCTCTGATTATCTAATGTTTTCATTTTATGGTGAGGAAACTGAGGCCCAGAATGACGAATAAATTTGCCTTTGTCATTGTCACAGTGTATTATTCATCGTAGGCATTCAGTAAATGCAGGTTGATGGAGCAAGGTGTGTTTGTGTGTGTGTGTGTGTGTGTGTCTCCAAGGTGAGGGAAGAAAAACTTAGTTTAGTTCTGGCTTCCAGTTTCCAAACATAACTTCTTTTTTCTCTGCTTCATGTTTTCATTCACTTATATGTCCCTCTTTTTCTCCATTTGTGTCTCGTGTTCAATTTTCATTGTTTACATTTCTTTTATGTCCAAAGCAGCGTGGTGTTTGAGGGAAAGGGAGGTTGGTGGGTTCTACACTAGCACGGCCCAGTGTAAATCCTCCCCTTTACATATTAAATCTATTTGGTCATGCCTTGGTCTCTGAAGATACCAGCCATGTCATCTTAGAAATCATTACTGCCTTTGAAGGTGAACTGTACAAGATAGTTAAGATTATACTGAGTTCCAAGAATTTAAATTATGAGTTAAGGCTAAGGGTGTTTCTCACTGGAAAAGCAACCTCCCAAGTGATCATATTCAAAGTTTTGAAATTTTAAAAAATACAGTGAACCTATGGAAGAAGTTGCCAGGAAGGCAACATAGGAAAGAGACAGTCAGTTAACAACATTTATTGAACACCCTCTGTGAGTAGAACCTTGTTGAAGAGATGTAATAAAACCAGAGTGTGTTAAAGGCAAACAGTGATGAAGCAGTTGAGAAGGAAACGGGAGGGAACCAAATGTTTTAGTAAAATGCCAGTAGGGTTTCAGTGTGTACGTGATATCCTTAACATTTTTCACATGTGTCCATAGCTGTGGTTGATTTGCTTCAGGAGTTAACAGATATAGACACCCTCCATGAGAGTGAAGAGGGAGCAGAAGTACTCATCGATGCTCTGGTAAGTTGCACATCCCTCTGGGGTTTTGCAGGCTTGTGTGAGGTGTTGACATCATCACCGCCATTGTCTCTGTAAGTGGCATCATCTGAGTATCAGGTAGAGCTCTGAGGCAAGGCTGGACTGGATGAGGAGAGTGAAAAAGTAGAAATGCAACCTATGGGATACTTTGTTCTTTGGAACTATGTTAGGGAAGGGGTTATAGAGGCCTAACATTTATGAAATATCACTATGTAGTCCTCACCATAGCCTCTCAGATGGGTATTATTCTGTTATCCCCTTTACCGCTATGAAACAGGCATAAAGAGTCAAAACAACTTGCCTATAGTCACTCAGCTGGGATTTGAACCTGTGTTCTCTTTGACTCCATGTTCCTGTTCCTCTACACTCAACTGTGTTGCTACTGACCTTTTCACAAAAAGTTTTCGTGGATGTTTCTTTTCTCCTCTGGCCTTCATAATTCCAAATGAGGGTAGAACAGGTATCATTATTACTTATTTCATAGACAGGGATTTGGAGAATGTTAAAAATAAGAACAAACCTTCTGGCTCACCCAGGCCAGAGTTGCAGCCCTGCCTGTAGAAGACAGGGCCAGTTGATTTCTGCATTCTTTTTGGTGGAGGCTTGGCAAGGCCTCAGAATCTGCCTCAGCTATTGTTCCAGGCAGCAGCCAATCAAAGGGAGTTTACATGTGAGGTGAACCAGTAGACCCATCGTCTCATTTACACGTGAGGAACCCCAGATGGAAAAACGAAGGCTTTCACTGGGCTACACAGCTAGTCCCTGCAACAGCTGAGATTAGAGCCAGCATCTTCTGATCCCTCCACAGTCCTTTCCCACCACACCAGTTTCCTTCTCTCGCCTGTGATCAGAGAGGGCTCAGAGGCTGAAAAGGCACCACAGCTGGCCAGTGGCAGAAGTGAGTCTAGTCCAGCCTCTTACCGATACTTCCTGTGGATTTCTGTCCACCCACCGAGCCGTCACTCTCTTCAGAGCTCAAGAGGTTTTCCTTCTTTTCTGTTGTCTCATCTTTTCTGTCAGGTAGGAAGTCAGTACTGGTTTTGATGCAGTTTGCAGAGTTTATCATAGGTCTCTGCAGCCACTTGTACTAGATTATTTTGGCATGCTCGTTAGGCCACCTTCTGGCCCAATAGACCTACTGAATCAGAATGGTTGGGATTGGGGTCCCAAGGGATTCTGAGATCTCATTGTTACACTGCCCACCCCTTTCTCACCCTTTCTCCCTCAAGGTTCTTGACACTAGAAATTTCCTGTGCCGTGCTCACTGCTGGCATTTGGTGTGAATGAAGGGGTTGTGAACCCACTGGATATGAAGAACTCTTTTATAAAGAGCAAGGCTGGAGTCCAGCAGGGCCATTTGTGACTTAGTATGATGAAAATTTCTATTGCCATTTTCTTTCTTCCTAGAGCAAACTTCCACTTTTGTGGAATTCAGGAACTTTATTTTTCTTCAGAAAGAAAAGCATGATGTGGGGTGTCCTTTTGTTTTGAGGCGCATCCGAAGGAAGGCTGTGGCACTTGCTCCTTCACTGTGTCTCCACAGTGTCATGTGTGCAGTCTTACCTCTCAGAGGTTAATTACAGTGGCCCTGAATGAGCCTTCCTGCTTGGTCCCTGGGCTGATTTTAATTACCACCCTTTGCCTGTGAATAGAGGAGATGAGAGAGGAACGGCTAGCCTGCCCGCTGCCTGTAAAACATACTCAGAAACAGCAGTTCACACAAAAGCTCTCTTTGTGTTTTCTGTGTTGCCAAGCCCGCCAACAAATGCTGGACCTTGAAGATTTTATTGTTTGTTTAGGAAGAAACAGTTCATTCTCAGTCTGGGGAGCCATTACATAGCTGCTACACAGAGTGTTCTGTTTGTTTTGTTTAGTTTTTTTTATTTTTTATTAAGATTTTGACTTTTATGGCTTTATAATGGTCAGTCTGGTGTGAATCACAAACAATGGAACATTCCTAGACGCCCATATATTATTTGTTTGCAGCCAGTCAGAAGCCATCAGTAAATATTAGAGAGCAGAATCAGTGGGTGGTCTTCCTTTTTTTTTTTTTCCTGCCCTTGTGCTGCATTCAGGAAGATGTTTGATAAGTATTCTCATATTATAAGGGTTGAGTTGTCTTCACAGTTTTAATTTGGGGCCAATATCAGAGGCCTGGAATTGCATGAGCAGAGGCTAGAGGGCATGTAGCAGAATTTATTGTGCTGTGCAGTTTGCAGTTATTGCCTTGGTCTTTTTCCCAGTTGGAAGTCCTAAGCAATAGAAGAGCACATTTGTGTGGGAAGAGAGTGCTCTCCTGGCATTCTCGGGCATCTTTGGAGTTTAAAATTTGCTACACACCCATTGCTATGATTTATGCAAAAGGTGAATATTTGTGCTTTATAACAAGTTGACTTGGTAGCCTGGGAAGTAGACTCTTCTGAAGAGCAGTAAATGCAAGTATATTTGCTTTGATGACAATTCTCTGGCATACCTCTGAAGAAGACTGGACTTCTTGAGAGTTTTGATTAAATTACAGTCATTTTTCTACTTGCCAGTCCTAAATCTTGCCATGTGCTTGGCAGTCCCAGGCCTTTGCTCGCATTTGTCTCAGCTTGGTAAACCTTGCTTCTCCTGGGCTACCAGGAATACACCTGATCATCCTTTAAAGCCTAACTTAAACCTTATCTCTTCTCTCCTGAGGTTTTTTTTCTGACTCATCACCTCAGCAGAATTTGTGTTCCCCTAGCACTTTGTACATCCTGCCACTTGTCACCGTGGCTTATAGACATCTGTATCCAAGCTTGTCTTCCCTGAACTGTGATCCCTGTCAGGGGAGTGGCAGCTCTGTCACTTACCAGCTGTGTGTCCTTGGGAAAGTTACCTAACCTTGGGTACTCAGTTTCTTCTGTAAAATGGGGAGGGAGAGCAGTGGTAGTGCCTATTGCACAGGGCTGAAGTGAGGAATGAATGAGATATTTGATATGGGTTAGAGCAGAGCCTGGCACAGTATAAACACCCAATAAATGTTGAGCATTACCTTCATAAAGTCACATATGAAATACTTAGTAAATGTCAACGTCTACCACAAAGTGAAATGTTTTTTGAGTTCAACAAACATTTTTTTCATTTCAACAGATATTCAAAAAACACTTAGAACAAATACTTAAAAAAAACAAAACAAAACACAAAAGAAAAACCATTTTAAGGGTGTGGGCCTAGATAAGACATGGAAGGATAGAGGTTTAGTTTTTTACAAAAGGATGAAATAAGTGATAACACAGGCAGTATATTAGGAATGGTTGTGAGAGTCAAGCCTCTGTGGAAATGAGGAGGGAGCAATCACTTCTGCTGGCGAGGAGTCAGCAGGGACAGCAGTGCTGCAGGTATTGGCCTCTGTGAGGAGGCTTTAATGTCAGGGTGGACGGAGGGGTCACAGCCAGAGGCGGTGGAAATGTCGCTGGCCCGGGAAGCTGGTCAGTATGGCTGGGAGCTACCATTTGCTATAAAGAGTTTAATAAGCCCTGGATGGTTTTACACAGTAGTTACAGTATCAGCCCTCAGACCAAGAGGTCTTGGGTTCAGTTCCTGGTCAAGGGCATGTACCTAGGTTGCAGGATCTCCACCCCGAGCCAGGATGGATGTGGGAGGCAACCGATTGATGTCTCTCTCTCACATTGATGTTTCTCTCTCCCGCTCACTCCTTCCCTTCCACTCTCTCTAAGAAAATCGATGGAAAAATTAGTCCTCAGGTGAGGATTAACAAAAACAAAGAAATAAACAACCAAAAATGAGTTTAATGAAAGTGGCTTTGATGTAGAGAGCCAGTCCCATTCAGCAAGTAGTCCCATTCTTGCTCTCAATTAACCCAACTTCATTTGAAGGCCTGTGTTGGTTTGGTGTTTGCTGGTTGTCAATGCAGGTTGCTGTTTGGCTTGGCAGGGTTCCTCTAAGGCAGTGGTTCCCAAAGTGGGGCACACGCCCCACAGGGGGGCAATTTTATTTTTAAGGGGGGTAATTCAAGAATGAGTTATTAACAGTGAATTTTTGTGTTTCTTATGGTTCTAAGGGCCCCGTATCCTATATAATAAAAAGCTAATATGCAAATCCACCAACGGCAGAACAACTGGTCGCTATGACGTACACTGACCACCAGGGGGCAGACACCCAATGCAGGAGCTGCCCCCTGGTGGTCAGTGTGCTCCCACAGGGGGAGCACTGCTCAGCCAGAAGCCCTGAACTGGGCTCACTGCTGGCGAGCCCAGTGGCAGTGGAGGGAAAGCCTCTCCCGCCTCCGTGGCAGCGCTAAGAATGTCTGACTAACGGCTTAGGCCTGCTCCCCGGGGAGCCAACAGCCGGACATCCCCCAAGGGCTCCCAGACTGTGAGAGGCACAGGCCAGGCTGAGGGACCCCACCTGAGTGCACAAATTTTGTGCACTGGGCCTCTAGTACAGTATATAAATATATATTGTAACATATTTATGCATTTCAGTTCGCTGTTATATGTTTTGAAACTTTATTTGCTACTTTTTCATATCACTTCATATTATTTATTTAACAATTTCTTAGTGATTTCTTCTTTAGTACTTCATCTGTCCTTTATTTTTGTCTTTCATGGATGCCATGTTCTTTGGAAACTTGTTTAGACCAAGTTAATGGCCTTTTAGGCTTCCTCCACTTGAATAGGAGTTCACTTTTTGAATAATAATATGTCCTGGGTGGGGGGAAGGGGGCATCAGGATTTTAGAGATGCTTAGGCATAGCCAAAAAAAGGTTGGAAACCACTGCTCTGAGAGCACGTATTATATAAATTTCTGGATCCTGTCATGTTTGTCCCTTTCCACTTATGTTAACAGCCTCACCTTTATCTGTATTTGCTCCCAAGCAAAATTCATTTGTTCATTCATTCACTAAATGTTTATTGAGTGCTTGGTATATTCTCAATTCTATGAACTGGGTATATAGCAGTGAACAAGACTGACAAAGTCTGCTTTTGTGGAGCTCATATTCTAGTGCAGGGAGAAACGGTAAGTAAACAAGAAACAGATAGTGATTCTCTGTTACATAGAGAATTAAAATAGAGTGATGTGATGTAGTGTGACTGGGAAATCACATTGGATTAGATAGTCGGGAAAGGCCTGAGTTCTGAATGACAGGAAGAAAACAGCCATCAGAATGACCAAGGGCAAGATGGACAAGGGTAAAGGCCCCAAGGCAGGAATGAGCTTGACATAGTTGAGGAACAGAAAAAAGGCCTGTAATTTTAGCACACAGCTGGAACGAGGGGAGAGAGCACAGTCAGGGCCAGGCCACTCTGGGGTTTTTAGGCTTTGGTAGTAAGTTTGGGTGGAATTGCCTGTGTGAAGGGGAGTAATTGGAAGATCATAAGCAGGGAGTAGTAATGTAGTCAGACCTAACATTTTTAAAAGACCAATATTGCCCTGGCTAGTGTTGCTCAGTGGTTAGAGTGTCAGCCTGTGCACCCAAGGGTCTCAGGTTTGACTCCCGGTCAAGGGTATCTCTGGCCCCTGTCAAGGCACAGGGTGCAGGAGGCAATCAATCGATGAGTCTCTCTCACATTGATATTTCTTTTTTTTTTTAAATATATTTTATTGATTTTTTACAGAGAGGAAGGGAGAGAGATAGAGAGCCAGAAACATCGATGAGAGAGAAACGCCGATCAGCCGCCTCCTGCACATCTCCCACTGGGGATGTGCCCGCAACCCAGGTACATGCCCTTGACCGGAATCGAACCCGGGACCCCTCAGTCCGCAGGCCGACGCTCTATCCACTGAGCCAAGCCGGTTTCGGCTCACATTGATATTTCTTTCTCTCTTTTCCTCTCCCTCCTTTCCACTGTCTAAAAATCAATGGAAAAAAATATCCTTGGGTGAAGATTAACAAAACAAACAAACAAAAAAATAAATAAAAAGAACACTCTTGACAGCTATGTGGATAATGGATTGGAGGGGCAAGAGTGGAAACTAAAATATTATTAGGTAGGTTGCAACAGGATAAATTTTGCATTATGACAATATAATTATATTTTTACTTAAAACTTACTGCTTAATCAAGATTCAGTGTGGGTACGTGTGTGTGTTGGGGGGGGGGGGTATTATTTTTAAAATAGGAATTTCCAGAACTCTTACTCAGTAGAAAAACTCCAGTTAACCTCTTGAGAACGCCTATTGGCAGATTGTACAAGATATGAAATGATTCCCTCAGTAAATTCCCCCCATTTGTCCCTTTTTTATTTCCTCCTTTTCTCTTGTATCCATTCATTCTGGTCAAGTGGAAAAGGATGTCTGATCATGCCCTTGAAATTTATCTCAGTAGAGCCTGCTACAATATTGTTTGGGAGACCTAGAAATAAGCAGAAATAACCAGGAACTTATCAGAAAACGTCAGGCTTAAACAGTTATGATTTCCAAGGCTAGGGTTGCTCTGACTGAACAATCTTTAATGTTTTAATCCCTAAGCAGGATTTGTTTTTAGTTTCAGAAATAGTCACAGTTCCAAAAAATAGGCATGAAGGTGGTAGAACCAAGAGGTGAGAGGGAGTAAGACAGGATGCTAATTTATGTTTGTTACTAGGCGATATCCAGAGCTATACATAATATAAATATTTTCCAAGAGTTTCTGAGCTAAATGTGTTTTGATGGCTTTGACCCTCCTGCAATCAGATAAACTTGCATTTAACCCAGCTAAACATAAAGTTTCACACTTTGCAAGCTTAAAAAGGCTGTCTGTTAGAAATTAGATTTGCATGGCAAGCAAAAAAAAATTTTCTTCTGGCCAAACACACATTTTCCATAACCATTCAGTCCCGGGATTTGAATGTGTTGCTTATGCCACTGTCCCCACCACTTTCTAGACAGCAGAGCTGGGAAACATAACTAAGAACCAAGGAAAGGGAGGGAAATAGTGCAGATAAAGCAGCAGTAAGCGATTGAACCTGGTGAAGCAGTTTGCAGAACTGACAAGCCATGTGATACCCAGTGGAGTTGCAGTGTCTGCTGCTTTAGGATTCAGGGAGATTATAAGTCAATCAGGGTGATTTAGGGAAAAACAAATTGTGACATGGTTCATCTTTTTCCCCCAGATGTTTTTCTGTTTTCTTTCACATACCCAAATTGTCCAATTAATTAAGGAAAACATTGCAGTGGATTTCTTTGATGAAGCTTTTGCTAGCTGTGCGATTTGAGAGCAAGCTTGTGTATCTCCTTCATATAAGAGGGGAAAACAGCTCTTCCTTGTATTTATGGGTGCTCTCTATTTTGACATCAGTATCCCCTCTAATATGCAGCTAGTGTTTCACTAGTACATTGTTCCTCATACCAGGGCACAAAGGAGATCTTCATTTGTGATTCAGGTATTGCAAATTAGTCAATAATTTCAGCCCCCCTCTCCCCAGCCCAGATGTTTCTCTTAAGTCTCATTGAGAAAGAGTAGAAGTCTTATTTCAAGATCCATCTCTCTTGCCATTGTTTTATCCTCAGGCTCAGTTTGCATTGTGTCTGTCGTGTGCCTTACACACAGTGCTCAGGAAGGGTCAGTTGAATGAGACTGTTTCCTTCTCTCGCCTTTCTTTTTCCCTCACCAAAGTTATAGGGTATGAAGGGGAAAAGTAAGGTCCCAGAGCTGGTCACTTCTGCCACAAGCTTTATGACTTTGGCCAGGCTAATGAACCTTTCTGGATCTTTGTTTTCTCACCTATAAAAGCTGTGATGGTTACATGAGAGTAAATGGAGAAGTGTTTTATCAATTAATTTAAATTTAGCAAAATTTACTGAGCGTCTGTTAGGTATAGCATTGCACTAGGCTTTGAAGAGTATACCAAGATGAATGAGGACGAGGTGCCTGCCTTCCAAAAACTTGAGTTTTTCTTAGCCCGTGGGAGATGAGCAGTGAATACTCAGGTATAAGAATGGATAAAGGGCTAGATTCTAACTCTCACCTTAATTTTTGACCCAGACCCAGGGTAAGGCATGCCACATATATTCACTTAATCTTTATAACTTGTTTTCATGCCCTAGTGAGGAAACTGAGGCAATGAGAGAGATCTTATCTTCCTATACAGGTTTACTTATTGGCTACTACTTAGAAATTTATTACCAGATATGTAATCACTTCTTGAAGATTAGGTATTTTCTTAGTTGCCCCTTCCTGTTTTGCCTCAGGGTTACCTGGAGGGCAGTCTCCCCCAAACCTAAAATTGTGCCAGAAGGTAGTGTGAAGTAGTATAAGCATTATTTCACCTAAGAAGGGAGCTTGGTTTTGCTTTTGGTCTCACTGCTGAGTAGCTGTGTGGTCTTGGCTAAGTCATTCATCTCTTGAATATCAGCTGTATGATGTAGCTACTGAAAGGTTCTTCTAAGAGTTTTGTGAATCAAATTATGAGAGAAATAGAATTGCTTACTTATGTAATATAAATATAAGGCATTTTATTATGTTAATACTCTTTTCAAAAAGGAATTAGAAATTCATCAGAAGTAATGTTTCATAAAAGCTTTGCATGGAAAGTTAGGAATGTTTTGAGTTGAACCCTAAATTTTGAGGTCACCATAAAGTATGGCTAGTAACCTATCAACTAAACCTCTCTTGGTCCTGTGGCCGAGAAGCATGCTTTGACTTAAGTGAACTGTTGACCTGACTTCAGATGGCATTTTTGGAAGGTGCTTTAACTACCACAGGAAGGTAGAAAGAACTCTGAACTTGATTTCAGAAGGCCAAGGTTCAAGTGTACTAGTACTGTCACTCATCACTTTGTAACCTTGAATTTTACTTGGTCTCCTTAAGCTTCAGTCTTAAGTTAGGAAGAATGATGCCTGACTCAGAGTCACTCCACAGCTCAAGGATAATGGGATGGGAGAGCACGCGCTAAACCATAGGTGGCTGGTTATTTACTTTGTTCCTTCAGTAGAGAAGTGAGTACTACTCTGTGACATGCATCCCTCTCTCCTTTTGCTTCCCTGGGCTGAAGGTGGACGGACAAGTGGTAGCACTGCTCGTGCAGAATCTGGAGCGCCTGGACGAGTCTGTGAAAGAGGAGGCGGACGGCGTGCACAACACTCTGGGTAAGGGCCAGGGCAGCCAGCATTCTCCGAGTTTCTTTGTGTTTGTTGTGGGGCTTGGTGCTCATTTCCCTTCCTCCTTCATAACAGAGTCAGCAGCAGTAGTGTTTTCTTTCTGTGTGCTCCCAAACTGCCTTTTCAGAAATGAAGACCCTTGTGTAAATTTCATATAACTGCAGCTTTGGTTTGGCTTGCAGGTAATAAAAGCAGAAATGCACCTTCCTGCAAACCGCTGTCTTCTTTTAGCAGGTGCTTGCCTCCAAAAGTTAGGATGAAGTCTATGAAAAAAATAAATATTTTTTAAACAATTTTTTAGTCTTCTTATGTTGGTTTTTCTTCCTTTGACTGGAACTACAAACTTTTGAATAACTGTGTATCTTTATAGGACATTTTATTTGAGAAAGAGTTAGTGTTTCTGTTCTTATGTGCAGTTTGCCGTGTAAACTGTGGGTTGCAATATTGCCATTACCTTGGCTGCCCCTTCATTATGTGTCCATTAAAGTGAATTCCTCTGCAGGATTTCCCTCCTACACCTCCCCAGTCATCCACCCTGTAAAGTTGCCAAACCAATAGCTCATTTAAAATCATGCTTTTGGGTAGTCCTCTTTATCACTGGTCGCTGTCGAATAAAGCCGTAAGTGACATATCTGTAAGTAGAGCTTGAGAAATGAACGAGGCCCAGCAGAAGCAGAAAGTTTGATGAGATTAGATTTTCTCTCAGCTCTTTTGTGTCTGGCACAGATTTCTCTTGTAGTTTTATACTCTCTTTCGTGAAGATTATCATAAAGAAGGAGGAAAAAGGGAGTACCTAGGGAGTAAGAGGAGAGAGAACACAATAATCAGTAATTTGGGGGCTGGCCCTAGTCTACAGCCAGAATTTAGCATTGCCATCTGTTAGCCTAATGCTGAATTTTGCTGAATGGAAAGCTTATCAAAGTCTTAACTGACTGTTAATTAAAAGGGCCTGATGTAATGGAAAAAGTACCAGCCTGGCAATCTGTAGAAATCTGTCTACTTTCAGCTTGGTCACCTACCAACAGCTCAGCAAAGCCATCCCTCCCTCCCTTATTAAGCACCTGATGTTTGTCAGGCACTGTGCTAGGCACTGGGCAGATTAAAAAGGAATTAGACTTGGTTCTACTTCTTAAGAGGCCGACTGATGGGATGGTCTGGAACAGAAAGGGAAGGTAATAGAGGGTGACAGATGGTTTAACAGGAGTTAGTGGAGAGCACTATGAAAGTGAAGAGGAAGGGTCTCCAAATTGCTGTAGAGGAGCAAGTAGCACTGGGGCTGAATGGGCTGAATATGAAGACCGGTACATTTTGACAGAAATGGGAGAAGGATCCTTGGGCAGGGGAGTAGCATTTGCAAAGCCGTGAATGGGCCTGAGCTTTGGGGAAAGAACAGAAATGCACTATAGCGGTGGGAGTAGAAGTGATGGGAGATGGGACTAGGGGAGTAAATTTGTCCAGATGATGGAAGACCTTGTAAACCATGGATTTTATTCTAATGGGCAATAGGAAACCATCTAAAATATAAGCAGAAGAATAAGAATGAGTTGATTAATACGAATGAGTTGGTTTTCTTAGAAAATGTGAGTAAGTAATTTAAGGTATTATAATGATCATCTCTCAGGGGTCTGGTTGCTACTCTGCTCCCAAGGCTTTATGTCCCACTCCCTGAGGGGGCTGCCCGGTTATTCTTTTTGTTTTTGTTAATCCTCACCCTAGGATATTTTTTCTGTTGATTTTTAGAGAGAGTGGAAGGGAAGAAGGGACGGGGAGAGAGAACATTGATGTGAGAGAGACATATCAATTGGTTGCCTCCTGTATGAGCCGTGACCAGGGCCAGGGATTGAACCTGCAACCCAGGTACATGCCAGAAGCTCTACCCACTGAGCAACATCATCCAAGGCTGCCCTGTTATACTTTAACTTGAAGATTGACATGGACAAAGGAGTGAGGAAGAAGATAAGGGGGTGGTGATTTTTTAACCCTTTCTCCTACAAGCATTGTACTTGGAGAACACAGAATTCTATCTGCTTTATAATAACATACTCTGGGAGATAGGGTGGAAGAGGTCATAAAGGAAATGAAAGCGTTGGATGTGTTAGAATGGGACTATAGGTAATTTTTTTAAATGTCCCGCTTTTTAATATCATAGTTATGCAATAACTTTTTTGGCCTCCTAATTTTGAATTTCTCTATTAAGCAGCAATTTGGCTGTTTTTGGAGAGAGTGGGACCAATTATGTTTGCTTCTGAGTACCAGACAGTTACTTCTGCCAGCATGACCTTTCGCATCTATGCACATTATTTTTTTCAATTAAGATTATGCTTGGTTCTTTGCAGTCCAAGCAAAGAGAACTGAAAGTGGATGAAACAGGAAAGGAAGAGACTATGAATTCACCATCTCCTGATTTTTTTCCTAAGGTCTTTATGAAGGCTTCTGTCTCTTTAGTCATAGTCTCCGGGATTCTAGTACAATGAGGACTAAGAGGATCTTCGTAGGTAAAGATCCACCCTTCTGTGTGTTCTGCTCTAGTGTTGTTCCCTATTAGCACAGAAAGCCTATCACTTACTCCTTTTGTGAACTCCATCATTTTCAGTTATAACTTTTACTTATAACTTGAAGAAAAGAAGCCCACAACATCTCCCTGGTTAATCTAAAAATGACAACACATCATCTGGCTGGGAGGAATACAGAGAAGTAGAAAGAGGAATAAAATGTTGGCCATGGGAAGCAGGCTTGATGCAGATGGAACTAAGTTGTCTTCCCAAATGACTGGTGTCTGTCTCCCTTCAGCTATTGTGGAAAACATGGCTGAGTTCCGGCCGGAGATGTGTACGGAGGCTGCCCAGCAGGGTCTTCTGCAGTGGCTGTTGAAGAGGCTGAAGGTAAGTTTGGCTTTGTGGGAAGGCAGGTCAAACCTCTCTGTGTGAGCCTGGCCCATGCTGGGTCTTTGGCATTGATTGTTATCCCCAGGCTGTGTGATCTTGTTTGAGAATTTTTTTGGTATCTCTTGCCTCTTCCTTTATTTCTCCTCTTTTGTTTGTTTTAAAAGAAAACAGTTTAAAAATAGACTTTAATACCTCTGAAAATATTACAAACTTGTTGTAGAAATACAAACAAATGCATGTGATACAGAAGGTATAAAACTGAAGGTAAAAGTTCCACTCTACTGATTGCTTCTAGTTCCACCTCCCAGAGGCAGCCACTCTTAGCAAACAGTATTTTATCTATCCTTCCAGAAATTTGTTGTGCACGTATAGAAGTATGTGTGTGTGTGTGTTTGTGTGTGTCTCACAAATAGAAATACATAGTATTTTTTAAAGCCCCTTAACTTGGCCTGTCTGACCTTCCATTTCTCAGTTTTGAAACATTGGCCTTATTATCTTTCAGACATCTCTTTTACCTATCCCCTGCTCTGCAAAGGTCAAAATTATTTTGACTTCTGTATTTGTCTTGCTCATGCTTCTCCTTCCACCAGGAATGACTCCTGTCTCTTTCATTTATTTTTAGATTATATACACTGTTCATTAACCAGCTTAAATCCCTACTCTTTCATGTATCCTCCCATCATTTTTAGAATTGGAAGGAAGTGTATTAAGTTCTATTGCAGATAAAAAATTGATACTTATAGAGATTAAGTGCCTTGCCCAAATTCATAGTACTAGAATTAAAATCCAAGCATCCAGACTCTTTTATGCACCATTTCCCTAGCACCACTCTTCTCCCCCCCCCCCCCAACCCCCACCCCCACCCCCGCCCTCCGCCCTAAGCCCATACTGCCATCTTTCTTTCCTGAATAGCAACCATTTTACTTTCTCCCTACTGGTTCTCCTGGGGGGGTTAGCAGACCTGGGTTCTCCCAGTTATATACCCATAACTGTGTGACACTGACCTTCATGGAGCATCTTTTCTTCATCACTTGGCAGACTTGAATTTTATTATGTGTGCTCATTGTCTTTCTCCAAATACCCTTAAGCTCCTTAAGAGCAAGGACTGAGTTTCTATCATATTTGCATCTTCTCCCAATTGTTCTCAGGGTGTCCATCCTGACCAGGAGCATCCGAATCACCTGGCAGCTTGTTAGAAATGCGCATTCCTTTTTTTATTTTTTTAAAAATATATTTTTATTGATTTCATAGAGGAAGGGAGAGGGAGAGAGAGAAACATCAGTGATGAGAGAGAATAATTGATCGGCTGCCTCTTGCACGCCCCTCACTGGGGATTCCTGTGCCTTGACCAGGAATTGAACCATGACCTCCCAGTTCATAAGTCGACACTCAACCACTGAGCCATGGTGGCTGGGCAGAAACACACATTCTTAGGATGGGGGGGAAGGGGAAGAGATCAACCAAAAGGACTTGTATGCATGCATATAAGCATAACCAATGGACACAGACACTGAGGGGTGAGGGCATGAGCGAGGGTGGGGTGGGGGGCTATAGGGGGATAAGAACACATGTAATACCTTAATCAATGAAGAAAATTATTTTTTTAAAAAAAGAATAACTTTCCCTTCAAAAAAAGAAATACACATTCTTGAACCCATCCCACTAGACCCACTGAATCTGTCCAGCTTGGGGTGGAGCCGGCAACCTATCTTAACATCCAAGTGATTCTGATACATGCTAACATCTAAGAACTAGCATCCTAGATTATTTGTTTACATTACTTGGTAAAGCCATGCCATTTTACTGATCATGTATATTTATTCAGTAGTCCTTGAATAATGTTAAGTGTGTAGCACATTGACGAGTCTCCTTTTTGTATTGGTCACCTAGTAATATATAGAGATATGCTTGGATTTCTTCATCCACTAAATGAAATCACTAATTTGTACTAATGAGGATGAAATCCATTGTAGATGATTACATTAAATGGTTTAGCAGGTAAGCAAATAACAGTAGTGTGAGAGACACTGCAGCACAGTTTATTTTTCCATGAGGAATACAAACTTCTTAGGATATCATGTACTATTGAAAATTACACCAAAACCCCCAAATTTTATTTTTTTCCTAAAGAAACAAAATTAAGATTCCCCTTTTGTTTCTCAGTTAAATCAATGCTTTAAAAACAGTTGCAACATTCACCAAATAAGCTAATGAATTGAGTATTGGCTTTATTATACAACATGTACAACTGGTTAATGCTAGGTCCTTAGCCTCGATGACCAGGAGTTGGCAGCTTACAGGCCACAGTCTGCTTTGACAGTTGTACAGGGCTGTAGATGTGTCTGAACCTGCCCCATGTGTTCCAAGCACAGAGGTGAGCTGCAGAAATAACCTGAAGCTTCTGGCTGCGGGTGGTAGCATAATTATTTTGTACTTTCCAAAAAAGCAGCAGCTCCCAAAAAGGTGAAGTTTAATTTTATTCAAGGCTAGTGCATGCTGAGTACAAACTTGTGCTTGACTCTGTAATTACTCTGACAGCTGAAAGATTCAGGATTACCAGCTCCTGGATAGAAGAGAGCCCCAGAATTTCCAAGTCCCATTGGTTTACTTTGCCAAATCCAAGGGACTGTGGCTGCTAAATGAATTCTCCTTTCTTCTAATTTTGACTAAATGTCCTCGTAATTTGGCAGTTTGGTATTTTGCAAGCTTGGAGGCTGTCATCTCTGGCTGGTAACTTTTGTCTTTGGCTAGACATTAAAGATTATTCTCCTTTTTCCTCACCTAGCCCATCGTTTATTTCTTTTCCATCAGTTTAAAATATTTGGTTGTCATCTTCATCATCATCACTTACACCACTAAGTTTTCCCTGTCCCGTGTGAGTGTTGTACATTGGCTATTTATCGTGTACAAAGGGTTATTCTAGATACTGTATGTACTGTACAATATGTACTAGTTTATTTCTGATCCTCATAAACAACTCTCCAAGCGAGTGCTGCTATCCCCAGTATACAGATGAGGAAAGAATCCCAGAGAGGAGGAGATACCTTGTCCAAACCCCACGGGAAGTATGTGGGAGAGCATGTGACAGCCGGCCTTGCTAGCTTTAAAGCCTCCCCCTCTTGCCAGGCTGTTTCCCAAAAGCATTTCTTTCAGGGTCTGAAGCATTGCAGTGTTCAGCGTTGGAAGTTGAAGGGCCTAATCATTTTGACTTTCTGATTAGATTACTCCTTCATGCCAGTTTTTCAATCAAAGGACCTATATTTTAAGAAAAAAGTGATGAAGTTAGATTTTGATTTTTTAAAAATTTTTGTTTACTTTGGGCAAATTGGAAACTCCTTGAAGTGATACACAGCAAAAAACTGCAGATTTTCTGGAGGGAATCAGGAATTCTCAATAGAGGGGAACTCAGTTGTTGGGTGCCTATTAAGTATATACTAGTTTATTTAATTACTTCATGAGAAAATTATGATTTGTTTTCACCTAACATGAGAGGAATTGAGTTAGAGAGGCAGAGTAATTTGGCCAAGGTCAAATGGCAGGTAATTGTTAGAGCTGAGATTCTAGTGTGGATATTTCTGATTCCAGTTATCAGAAAAACTTTTAGTACCTACTGTTAGATACTTCCATATCTTATTTAATTCTCATAGTAACTCCCCCAAGAGATGTTATTTTATTATTTCCATTTTACAGATAAGGAAACTCGGGACCAAGAAATGTTATTTTGGGTCATAGATGTCCATTCTCAGTTCATGGTGCCATTAGCGTCTCAGAATTTTGTTTTTATAGTATCCCTGTGCCAGAAAGGATATAACTGCCCCATGTATTAAGTAGTTAGGTGCAGACAGTTTAATACAGGGGTCCTCAAACTACAGCCCGCGGGCCACATGCCAATACAAATATTGTATTTGTTCCCGTTTTGTTTTTTTACTTCAAAATAAGATATGTGCAGTGTGCATATAGTCTGGCCCTCCAACGGTCTGAGGGACAGTGAACTGGCCCCCTGTTTAAAAAGTTTGAGGACCCCTGGTTTAATACCTATTTATGTATTAACAATTTAGTGCCATTTGAAAAAATAATACACATGAATTAAAAGACAATATGTATTTTATTTAATTCTTAAATACCACAGTTATTTACTGATAGATGTGTGTGCCTTTTCAGTTCTGTACAACTTCTGAAATCTTGGAATCAGATTGAATACCATCACCCTCTTTCCTGTTTCACACAGTTCTTTTATCACGGCAACCACCAAAACCCAACTTCAGAATGATAGGATGTCATGAAAAGAAATCCACCTGGAGCTAGTAGTTAATGTAGTGTTGAGCAGATGTTAAATGTCACTGTGCTTTCCTTGGAAATTGAAAATATCCTATGGTGCCCCTGTGAGTTCAGTATAACACCAGGTACCTCGACATGCAACTTGGGAACTGCATACTTTGTGCCACATAGATAGTGCATGCTCATTAGTCAGACCTAGGTATGTCTGAGCCCAGATTCATGTCCTTTTCTTAATGTTAGTGTATCACTTGATAAAATTAATTCGTACCATAATTTAATTTAATTCCTTGACAACAGATAACATTCATGTTCATGTCAAATTCACCTCTGTTTGCTGTCATGTTCAGTTCTTTGTCTGGCATATAGCAGATGCCCAATAAATATTTGTTGGGAAAAAAGAGAAAATCCATCCACTACCTTGGAGACAGGAGTTTATAAAATCAAATAAAGGACAAGAGAGGCATTGGGATCATGGAAAGGCTATTGTTCTAGTGGCCTGATTCTTAGGGCTTCTTCCAGCTAACCATGTCTTGTTTTAAACGAGAACCCTGACCTTTGAAAAGCATAATAGTTGGTGTGACTTAAATCTTTTAAAATGGCAATACTTGTAACTTAAGTAATTTGAGTAAGTAATTCTGTTGGCAGATTCTTGATTCTGATGGCCATGCTCACCCCTTGGCTTTTCATTTTGTAGCTTGATTTTTATAACACTGTTTTCCTTAAAGTGAAACATGCCACAAATTTCACTTAAACCCTGGCTCTTATACTGAATTTCTTGAAACAAGGCCTTAAGCTTGCCAGGGAGCATACCTTGTAGTCAGCACACGTAAGTCCTTGCATTTACAGATCTTTTAATCTAAGATGGGTCATACCTGGTCGGCCTCCTGAAACCCTGTGGGGTGCACTTAGGCTTGACAAGGGAGACGTGCACAGAAAACGGAAAAGATGCTGGCATTGCTTCATTAGGGGCCACTCTTCCTTCTTAAGTACAAAATCAATGTCCAAACAGAACTGTGAATGGTGCTAAGGTGATAGAAGTGTTAGCTTCAAGATAAACACTTCCCCTGTCCTTTCCAGATACAGGAATTATTTGTCATTTCAAAAAACCTGGAGATGTAGCAAGGCTGCTGCTGATTAACAGTTGTTGTCTATGTTCCTGCATTTTAAGGATCAAGGGTACAGTAAATAAAAAGACATTGATGAGGCTTGGTCCTCTCTGCACCTTTATCCGAAGGGCATTGTTAATGATGAGAGATTTGAGTCTCGCTCCTAAAGCAGCAATGTGGACGGCCATGAAAAAGAGTCTCTGCAGTAGATGTGTGCCCCCTGGAACTCCAAGTAGCAGAGCATGCAGCAGGCAAAGAATTGTGGGTAGCAATTTGGGTGTTAAAATATTAACACATTACTGCATATTTAATGTGGTTTCCTTTTTAAATAGTAGGCAGATTATGGCACACAAGCAGATAGGTTTATGATTTCAAATTAAATTTTAAACATTAAAAAATCCAAAGGCACTACTTTGTTATAAATATACTCAACTAATCTAAATACGAACTTGCTTTCTTTTCAACTTCTCTAATGTGTCAGCTAATTTACAACTTAATTTTGTCATTATAACTCGTGAACAAAGCTTTATGATAAGTTTTAGTCTTAAAGTTCAAAAATTTCAATTACTCATCTAGTTCACATTTTGAGTACGTAGTATGTACTAGCCAGCCGTGGGCAAACTACTGCCCGCGGGCCGGATCCGGCCCCTTTGAAATGAATAAAACTAAAAAAAAAAAAAAAAAAAAAAAAAAAAAAGACCGTACCCTTTTATGTAATGATGTTTACTTTGAATTTATATTAGTTCACACATACACTCCATCCATGCTTTTGTTCCGGCCCTCCGGTCCAGTTTAAGAACCCATTGTGGCCCTCGAGTCAAAAAGTTTGCCCACCCCTGCGCTAGACAGTAGTCTCTGGACTCAAATTGGGGGATCTGGGAAGGCTTCCCAGAGGTGGTGACATTCATACCTGGGCATTAGGAACGTGGAGACATTGTGTTCATCTGCCATTTATGGTTTTACTATGTAGTTCTTGAGAGCAGAGTCAGACTTTTTTTTTTTTTTTTTTTTTACACTCTTAACCTGCCTTTTCCCTTTCTAACTCTATTTTTCTCTAACTCAGATTCTAGTACTTGTGAAAAATTCAGTCTGGGAAGGGAAACAGTGCCCCATAACGTGTTTTGTTTTGTTTTTTTCTCATTTCTCCTGTTTCCTTACAGGCAAAGATGCCTTTCGATGCCAACAAACTGTATTGTAGTGAAGTGCTGGCCATATTGCTCCAGGACAATGATGGTGAGGCTCCCTCTCAGTATTGATATTCTGTTAGGATAGGAGCTAGGCTTGTTTCAGATCATGACAGCAAGCTCTCTTGCCTTTGGCATCCCCTTGCTCTCCCTCTCGCTCTCTGTGCAGCTTTTGTACTCTGTCAAGCTGTATTGATTTTGTTTGCTGATGTATCAGTGTTAGACGGCTGTAAAATCTGACAGTTAGCTTCATTTTTTTTCTTCCTCTATTTTTTTCCCCTTTTAGAAAACAGGGAGTTGCTTGGGGAGCTGGATGGAATCGATGTGCTTCTTCAGCAGTTATCCGTGAGTAATTCTTATGCTTCCTGTCAGCCATGAAGATACATGGCCTGCTTTAAATGGGGGGTGGAGCTGGAAATTGTGGGAAGGAATAAGCCATGTGATGCAGGGCATGTGGAGTCTGTTGTTAGGTTTGAGGTTACAGTGGAGGTACATGAGTTGCCTCCTTTTCTTAGTCATTTGCTTTTTATGATCAGCTATCACTGTGTATCTCATATGGATTTTCTTGGTCTCTTGATATTTATCAATTCAAAAAAGGTGCTTCTTGTTTAAGTGTATGTTTTTGGGGCTATGAATACCACGTTATTTTTAGTTGACCCATTCCTAAGATTATTCACTTCCTTTCCTTTCAGTCTGCCACTAATATGGAGTCTGTTCATTTTCCAAATAAGTTCAAGGAGTACAGGTTCCAGGGCAGTGGGGTAGAGGTCACAGAGGAGGGAAGGATGTAGTACTGGAGGCTAGAATGAGAAACTGGAAATTGCCGTTTGTTCATTGTAAGAAATGTAAATCCACTTGAAATGTTGTTCTGCTGGCATTCTGAAAACACTGTTAAGATTTCTTCTAGCAAATCTCATATGTGCTATTCCAAAAACAGGACTGAAATAGATCATTTGGATAAAATCTTGAGAGTGTTGGGAGTGCCTGAGATGTCAGTTTGCATACAGCTTCCCTCTTGGTGCCAGCAGCCTGAGTGGCTTGGCCTCCACCCCCAAAAAGAGAGTTTTGAAATGTGAATCTGTTTTTAATTCTGGGACGGTGCTTAGTCTTGTTCCTGCAAGATTATTGATCATTTTGTAATAGACTGTATGGGTATGCGGATACTGTTAAGAGGCTTTCCCCTTAACATGCCACATATCTCTCTGGCAAAGACAAAACTTTTGCTTTAAGCTGTTCCCATGACTTAGAGCCATAGCTGCTGAGCTAGGCAATTCATTAGCCCTGATGGTTAGAAAACTCTTCCTTATATTGAGCCAATATTTGCCCTTCTGGATTGTAGTTGTTTTTAAGAAGGGGAAGGAAGGGGTTGTGATTGGGTTGGGCCAGTGGAGGGCTTTGGGGATAACTGGAAAAGTTTCTTGAGTTGGATGGTGGTTTTAGGGGTGCTCACCTTATTCATTTAGCTATTTTAGAGTTTTCTATATTTGCATTATATTTCATAGTAAAATAATTTTTTACAAACTCTGCCTCCTTGAAACTATCAACCACTCATAGATCCAATGGTCAGTTGAGTTTTTTTGGGGTTTTTTTGTATGAACCGACAGCCATTTATTTAATACCTGTGAATCATAAAGCTCAGTTTTTCTAAAATAGGAACTAATGAGAATTTTGTTTGATAAGCTTTTGTTCCCACTACTGTGGGGTTATCATGACAGGCAGGCTTTGGAAATTGTTGAATGCTGGCTGATGAAAAGACATTCTCTTAGACTCTGTGTTTCTGATGTCTTTGCTTGGCAGGTGTTTAAAAGACACAATCCTAGCACTGCGGAAGAGCAGGAGATGATGGAGAATCTGTTTGATTCACTCTGTTCCTGCCTAATGCTCAGTTCCAATCGTGAGCGCTTCCTGAAGGGCGAGGGTCTTCAGCTTATGAATCTCATGCTCAGGTATGTTTCTTACCTTCTAGCTTTCATACTTTTTGCCCAACTCCTATCTTTTAGCCTAAATTAAAGGACATATAGTTATGGTTTTTTATTCCCTTGAGCTTCCTCTGAGATATATAAAATCATAAAGTCTTCAGAGGTGTGAGTGGTCTTTTCTAAAGTGAGAATGGGCAAATAAAAGTATCTTGGTCTGTTTGCTCTATTTTGCCCATTGATAATATGACCACTCCATTAAAGGGAAATGTCTTTTTGCTCCTCCTTATAATGTATTGGTTTTGGGAAATCTAACTAACTCCTAAACATATAATAATTTCTAACTGAGCCCAATCTAACTCCTAAACATATATTAATTTCTAAACTGAGCCCAATTTTTTAATATCCCATATAGACCTATCTATGCCATACATTTGTCTATATTTTATTATTGACAGTAGGCTATCATTCATATTTATATTTTTCAGTATACATTATTTTCAATGATGAATTGTGCATGTGCTATGTGGCTAGCATCAGAGATAAGAAAATGTGCAAGACAGTTCTAGAACTTTTCTTTATTGTTTATGTTCTGATTTCTTAAACTATTTAAAGTGGGTATCATGTTATCATATTTCACAGAATCCTAAAGTTGGAAGTAAATGGGAAGTATCTTACATTCATAACTCTTTTGAAAGGGAGGAGAGAGATTGGGGCGGGGGGTAATAACTAGAGCGTGGTGGAGGTCAAGGGGCAGTTTCCTACATTGAGGGATACTAGATCATGTCTGCATGGTTGGAAGACTCTAATCATTATTGAATTATTCTTTATGAAATTGAGCCATAGTCTATCGTCTTGAAAATTCTGTTCCCATACACCAAAAACTCTCTTAAATTATTTATTTGGCAAAATATTTTTATAAATTGAATATGTATCAATTAAATACAATTTAGAATATAGACATGTAAAACTGCTTTTAAACACTGATATGATACTATTTTGAGTATCACGGGATTCTTACCTTCAAGGAAAAAAACACACAAAAAACTCTTATCATCCAAATACAACCCAACTTTGGTTGTATATCCCTGTTTTTTTTTTTTTTTAATGTAATTGTTTTCTTGTTTTTAACAGCTTTTTAGACCTGCCACACATGTAATTTTCTATACTGTTTCTTTTTAAACTTAACATGCTGTTTTCCATGTTGTGACATAATCTTCATGAGAGTTTTCAATAACTGCATAATGGACTCTCAGAGAATGTAGCTTACTTAGTATTTATTGTTGATATAAGTTACTTTTAATGTTTTGCTATTATAAAAAATTCTACAGTGACCATTTTGTGCTTAAAATTGCTTTTGTACTTAATATTATCAAGATATATGTTTCTAAAATACCTTTGCTTTAAAGGCTGGGGGCATAGTAGACCTCTTCATTTGTCCAGTGTGTATCAGACCTTAGATTGATTGAAAATCTTCCTTTCTGGAATTGCTTTAAAATTTTTATTTAAAGTGCATAGAGGGGCATTGAAATTATTCAGAGGCCTTTAGTGTTCAGGTGATTTCTGCTAGCTTTCCTCTCTTGAGTCTTTTGTTTGCTTATCTCCTTTACCCTTCTAATTGCCTGTTCTTTTGTTGAAATGACCAACCTTCTCTCAAGCAAATAGCAAGTAAAGAAGATGCATTTGGCTTCCTGGGCTTTCTAACCTGAAAACTAATTCTGCAGGGACTTTTCCCTAAGCTTCTTAAAGGTCTGAACTGCCAGTGTCTTTGGATGGTTGAGTGTAAATATGAAGTGATGTATTCCTGTAGCATATGGCTTAGTAATGTACAGCGGTGGGAGCTGAATAAATAACTAGAAATATGGATTATTTAAACAGGAATGCTGAGATTCTGGGAGCCTAATTAAAAAGAAGCTCCAAAGACTTAGAAACTAACTCTCTAGGATCTCCTAACTTTTCAATTTTGAATGCTGAAGTTACCATTAGATTAATTCTTCTGCATTAATTAGCTATATTAGCAGATTCAGCATTTCCTTTTTTCTCTTTCCTATGCTCTTCTAAGTTATTTTTCTTCTTCTGACTCTCAAGTGGAAAGTTTAATTGGGAGGGAATTGTTTTTTTCTACTAGATTTGTTCTTCTGACCTATCAAGACCTGCCAAATTGTTCTCTGTTAGAGAGAGCCTATTGAAGACTAGGAAGCCGTAACACTAAAAGTTCAGGAAAATTTCTATGGCTCCATTGCCCCTACTGCTGATTTTTACTTTGATTCGGGCATTCATCAGTTATGAAATGCGCACCTGGAAAGGTGGCAGCGTAGTATAGTATGGAAGTGATATAGGCATATTGGGGGTCTGGGGACCCAAGGGTTCACAACCCACTGTGGATTCTTGGCTTTGCACAGGAAAGAATCCAAATGCAAGCCAGCATAGAATTTAAAGTGAAAGAGAGTTTATTACTGAAGCAATGAGTTACAGAGTGAGCTATTCTACAGACAGAGCAGCCCCTTCCTAGTGGGATTTATTTTTTTTATTGAGGCTCATTTAATTGAGGGGTAAGACATTCAATAAGGGGGCGGAATATTCAGTTTCTTTCCCAGGAAAGAGGTGGAGACTTCTCAGAAAGCGCTGTAGGCCATCTTGGTTCCTTATATAGGCTTTCCATTTATCATGGCACAAGGGGTGTGTCATTTAGTATGTGAATGTATTACAATGAGTATATAATGAGGCTTGAGGTTATCATAAGATTATATTAGTTGCCATGTTGGATCAAGCTGGTCTCTGTAGGTTCTAAGCCATAAATCCTTTGGGGGTTGGTCTTACTATCTCTTTGACTGTCCCTGAAGCCCTTATCACTTACAGAGTTTCATCACATACCCTATCTCAGAAGAAGGGGCTTTGGAGTTGAGGTGAATACAGGTTTGGAACATAGCTCTTTCACTTGTTGGTTCTGGGTATTTGGTAAGATTACTATAACCTTTCTGACTTCTGACCCTTAGTTTTTTCATCTGAAAAATGGAGGAATAGTGCCATATTTGCAGGAATTTTGTGGGATTTAGACTATATATAAAGTGTCTAAAATAATTCTGCAGCTATTAAAACATTGATAAAGTACTATATTTGTTAAGTGCTAGGCTTATACAGAGATGATGAACAAGACAGGATTCCTACCTTCAAGAAATTCAGTATCTAGTGAGGGAGGCCAATATCTAATGAGGGAAGCCACTGTAATATAATTTAATTTCTTAACTATTAAAAGGAACAGTTAATTTTGCATGTCTCTATCTTGTGAATTTTTTAACACTTCTGATTTTTGATAAGGAAAGATTATCAACAATATAGTTATTTATGTACACACATTATCACACACACATATACTACCCAATTTAATGTTTTTATCAATTTTATTGAAGCATAATTTATATGCAATAAAACACACCCATTTTAAATGTACAATTTTAATTTTGACAGGTTTATATACCTTTGTTCTCACCACAATGAAGATATAGAAAAGCATTGTCCAATAAAAATGTGATGTGAGTGAGATATGTAGTTTTATATTTTGTAGTAGCCACAATAAAAAGGTTAAACACAACTAATTTTAATGATGTATTTTAGCCGAAACGGGTTTGGCTCAGTGGATAGAGCGTCAGCCTGCGGACTGAAAGGTCCCAGGTTCGATTCCAGTCAAGGGCATGTACCTGGGTTGCAGGCATATCCCCAGTAGATGTGCAGGAGGCAGCTGATCGATGTTTCTCTCTCATCGATGTTTCTAACTCTCTATCTCTCTCCCTTCCTCTCTGTAAAAAATCAATAAAATATATTTTAAAAAAATAATAATAATGTATTTTATTTAACCCACTGATTAAAAATAATCATTTTAACATACAGTCAATAAAGATATTATTGAGCCATTTTACATTTATTTTTTATACTGTCTTTGAAACCCAGTATGTATTTTACATTTACATTTCAATCCAAATGCTAAATTTTCATTAAAGTACTTCATTTATATTTATAGTTATACTAGAGGGCCCAGTGCACGACATTCGTGCACTGGGGGCTTTGGGGGCCCCTCAGCCCAACCTGCACCCTCTCCAATCTGGGAACCCTCAGGGAGCCCTCTCCAATCCGGGAGTTTCTGTCTCTCTTTGTAATCATATGAGAGAATTGTCTGAGACCCCAACTCAGTTTGGTTTGCTGCTCACAGAATAATAGAGGCATTGTTTTTTCTTTGCTTCATTGGTGGAAATTTCCTGGAAGTTTTAGGATATCTTCCCTTTAATTTTTCCTAGACACTCTGATTTTACTTATGTCTCTACCTTTGCTTTCCCTCCATCCCCCACCGCAACAGTAACTTGCTCCAGGCTCACTTTGCTCTAGTGCAGTGGTTCTCAACCTTCCTAATGCCGTAACCCTTTAATACAGTTCCTCATGTTGTGGTGACCCCCAACCATAAAATTATTTTCGTTGCTACTTCATAACTGTAATTTTGCTACTGTTATGAATCGTAATGTAAATATCTGATAGGCAGGATGTATTTAGGCGACCCCTGTGAAAGGGTCGTTCGACCCCCAAAGGGGTCGCGACCCACAGGTTGAGAACTGCTGCTCTGGTGTCTAGGAGATCCATCTGCCACCGGAACTACTATTCCCAGAATTCCTGGTGCTCCCCGTGCTCTTGGTTTTCCCTTCCTGCTCTGTCTCCGTCCCATGGCCTCCCACTCTGCCAAGTCCTCCAAGCCACCAGCTCTCCCTCTCTGCTCTCCGTCTGGTGGCTTGGGGAGCCAAGTTCCCCAAGCCGCTCCACTCTCTGCCAGCTCTCCTGCTCTGCTTTACACCTGGTGGCTTGGGGGGAGCAACCGAGGGAGCCACATCCCCCCAAGCCACTGGCTCTCCTGCTCTGCTCTCTGCCCAGCGCCTATGTATGCAAATTAACATGCCATCTTTGTTAGGTTAATTTGCATACTCACTCCTGATTGGCTGGTGAGCATAGCAGAGGGACAGTCAATTTACATGTTTCTCTTTTATTAT